TCTATCTATCTATCTATCTATCTATCTATCTATCTATCTATCTATCTCAAAGCCATTTTGGAACTCCCAAAAACATTTGTCATCTCTTTGGAATTTTTAAGGCAAAGTGTTGCAGTTCACATGATACAGGATTGTGTCCACAATGATAATCAATTTCTGTCCTGTTCACCCATGCAAGCTTGTTTGCTTTCAGCAGCAAAGACTTGGTTCTAATTTTTCATATATGAAGATTATTAAAGGCTAATATTTATAACCCAAACTTGCTCAGTCTTCTCAATAAACATTCCAGAACCAAAGTATAAGTGGAGTTTTATTTTAAGAATCCCAGATTTAAAGCAATTTTGCAAATTCTAGTGTAAATGGAACTGACTGCCTGTGAATCAATCTTTAATTGCCCAAAGTCTTTTGCTATTTACACACTTGGTCTGAGAAAATTCTAGCTCCAACAATAGATTAAAGTACATCTAAAATGTATATTTTAGGGAGAAGGCAATTAATTTAAATAGATATTTACTTTTCTTTAGTAATTGCATTTTTATTATGACTTTCCCTTTGAAAGTTCAAAGACAGGATAAAGAGGGTTCATTACTTATTTCCACACACAAACACCGATCCACACCAACAATCTAACAGGGTAGCTGTGTTGGAAGAAAGAGAATGGCCTGTGTCATCTTACTAAACTCAATGGTTGATTTAAACTTGGCCCTCAATAAGTCAAAGCAAACACATCTTTAAATGCTGTACTATATAATGAGACTTTTAAATCTATATTGATAGAAAAACTCTAAGCCACAGTGTTGATGCAACTGAGTTCTTGATTGATCCATCTGTCTGCAGGGAAGGAGATAATTTTGGGGGGGAAATACACTAGTAGAGGGTTATATTTAGTTCAGGGTTGAACTGTTGGGGTCTTGATGTTCTCTGAGGTTAACTGTTTTTCTGCAGATCTTTTGTTATCTTGTTAAGTAACATCATCAGTGTATGGGAATATAGTCCAATTGGTTGTCTCAAAGTTGCTTTTCAAAAGGCAATTGGACTTTCTTGGCTTATTTTTTCCCTTGAAGACATTCCACTGCTTATCTAAGAAGCTTCTTCAGTTCTGGCTGAATGGTGGCGAATGGTGACCAGACTAATGACCAGATAACTGCTAAGGAATATAAATCCTTCCATTCCCCACCATTCATAAACATTTCCGTTGGCTCAAAAGGTAGCAGCCCACATGGTTTTGTGCATATGTGTCATCTCTCCTGTGGGAGCTCCATTGGCTTCGGATTTGCCTCAGGTTCCAATTCAAGGTGCTGATTGTCCCTTTTAAAGGCCTACGTGCCTTGGGACCAGGTTATTTGAAGAACCACCTTCTGGTTACATCTATCTGAACTACCAGAGCAGGGAGGCAAGGAATGCTAGAGGCCCCCTCTTCTAAAGGAGCTATATCTAGAGGGACCCAGAAGAAGGGCTTTATGTGTGGTGGCTCCCTCCCTGTGGAATATCATTTCTGCAGAAATAAGATCGGCCTCCACTGACACTCTTGTGCAAGGCCCTGAAGACCTGGTTGTGGACATCCCAACCAGGCAAATACTAGTGAGACGATCCAATCTCTGAAGGCAAAACTTTATTGAGTACATCATTTTGGCACTGGTTAGGGCAAAACCAGATCTAGCTAATTCCCATGCAAGCCCACACAATTAAAGTATATAATTCTCCCTCCCCCTATTTGTGCAGGTCACATTGTCCAATTGAACCTCATAGTATTGTTATGAGAAAAAGTCTTTGGCTTTAGCAAACACCTGCTGGAGTGTCCTTTGCTCTCACACTCGTCTTCTTGATGTTTGGAGCCTGCATTCCATCTTCCCCCTCCCTCCCTCTGGTTCATTGGCAAGCTGAGAAGCAATAATGGTTGCAACAGCAAAAGCACACTTTGAATCTTGACACTGGTTTTGCCAACCAACCTGGAGAACCCAGAGAGGGATGGAGCCCATCAAGTGGCTTATCTGATTGATTGTTGTCATCAAAGGGATAGAGGGGTTATTGCTTTCTATCATTTTATATTAGGTTTTTATTTTCATAAGTTGCCCTGAGTCACTTGTGAGTGAGTTAGGCCATATCAATTTTGATCAATAAATAAATTGTTCCAGTTAGGTAGGAATGTGGCTTCCTTGAATGTTTCTTGATTGGGGTGTTGTTCCTCTGATGGTCTTACATGCTTACTATATCTGTGTGTTGGTTGCTAGGGAGTGTTTCTTTGACTTTTGCTTGTCAATGCTGTATGTAGATGGATTTTTGCAATAGCAATAGTATTTTAGGCTTATATACCACCTCATAGTGCTTTGTAGCACTCTCCGGGTGGTTTACTATGTAGAAGTATTATTTGCATATGGCCCCCAACAGTCGGGGTCCTCATTTTACAGACCTTGGAAGGATGGAAGGCGGAGTCAACCTTCAGCCATATCAAGATCAAACTTTACGCTGTGGGCAGAGTTTGCCTGCAATACTGCACTTTAATCATTTCGCCACATTTAACTTGCAGATCCATTTTTCTTTCTACTGGTGCGCTTGGACATACATGTCTCTCTTTCTCCCCAGGAGATCCAGCAGCAGAAGAGTGGTCCCAATGGAGTGTCTGTTCTCTTACCTGTGGGCAGGGCACCCAGGTGCGAACACGCTCCTGTGTCTCCTCACCCTATGGGACTCTGTGTAGTGGCTTGCTGAGAGAGACCAGGACATGCAACAACACTGCCGTTTGCCCAGGTAGGTGAAGAGAAAACGGAGAATGGATTTTCTTCTTCCTTCTTGCCTTCTTGCTGTTTGTTTCCTTCAAGGTCTTGGGTCACTTCCCCCAGAGTTATCTGTTGGCCATGATTACAGGCAGTCTTTGACTTATCTCCATTCATTTAATAACTGTTCGAAGTTACAAAAAACAAGTGACTCATGACCCATGCTTGCTCTTATGATTGTTGAAGCATCCCCAGAATCGTATGATCAAAATTCAGGCCCTTGGCAACTGGCATTTATTTACAAAAGGTGTGGCATCCCAGGGTCCTGTTTTCCCCATCTGCAATCTTTGCATGGCAATCTGATGAGCGAAGTCAATAGGGGAATCTGGATTCATTTAATGACTATGTGATTACTTAACAGCTGCGGTGATTTGCTTAACAATTGTGGCAAACGAGGTCTTAAAATCAGGCAGGACTCACTTAACAATTGCCTTTCTTAACGATGGACATTCTAGACCCAATCATGGTCCAAAGTCAAGGACTATCTGTGTTAGGATAGAGTGAGGATTCAACGACTCTTGCTCAAGGAGAAAATGGCAGTTGTGGCTAGGAGTTCCCCTGTTCAACTTCACCTTATACACCCATTGTGCCCTTTACTGAATTGAGAAGCCCTTTCACTCAATCATACCCTTATCTTCTCCCACATGGACTACAGGTAGTCCTTGACTTACAACAGTTCATTTAATGACCATTTGAAGTTACGGCAGCACTGAAAAAAATGACTTATGATCATTTTTCACACTTATGACCATTGCAGCATCCCCGTGACCACGTGATTTATATTCAGATGCTTGACAATTAGTTCATATTTATGATGTTTGCTAATAAATAATAACCATGTTACTAACTTAACTACTTCAATGATGCAGTTTGGTCATGGGGCTACTCTTGAAGACTTTCCAGAAGTTGCAGCTGGTGCAGAATGTGACTACATGGACAGTTTTGGGTGTCCCTAGGGTTGTGCATAGACAGCTGGTCCTTGACTTACAATAGTTTGTTCAGTGACTGTTCAAAGTTACAATGGCATTGCAAAAAAATTGCTCGTGACTGTTCTTCACGCTTATGGCCATTGCAGCATCTCCATGGTCACGAGATTAAAATTCAGACATTTAGAAACTGGTTTATATTTATGACTGTTGCAGTGTTCCTTGGTCATGTAATCCCCTTTTGCAACCTTCTGACAAGTAAGCTCAAGGGGGAAGCCAGATTCACTTAACAACCAGGTCACTAAGTCAACAATTGCGGCGATTCACTGCAGCAGGAAAAAAATCATAAAATGGGGCAAAACTCACTTAACCAATATCTCAGCAACATAAATTTTGGGCTCCATTGTGTTTGTAAGTTGAGGACTAACTGTAGCTCCTCTGATACACAAGTTGCATTAAGTGCTACTATGTTTCCAGATCCAATTCAAAGTATTGGTTATTACCTTTAAAGCTCTGGCATAGGACCAGGTTACCCGAGGAACCATCTGGTCTCAATTACATTGTCCCATCCCAATTGATCAGGCAGGTGGGGCATGTTATGGATCCTGCTGGTTAAGAAAATTCAACTTGCGGGTGTCAACACTCTGACTAAGCAAAGCCAAGGAAAGTAGGCACTCTGGGGAACTTTGAACTCCAAGAAGCAAAACTTTATTGGAGATACCATTCCAGTACTGTGAAGAATCAAAACCAAGTCTCAGGGCTCCAACAAATCCACCCTCATTCAAATCAAAAGTCTCTAGCCGCATCTCAGAAAAAGTAAATTGGTTTATTAGAAATTGCCATGTTGGCGCGTGGTTGAGTGCAGCCAATACTAAATCACACCATACATTTCCCCCTTGACCCTGGTCTTTCCCCCACCCCCTGGATATGACTTCTCTAATGGGACACATCCATCTCCAAGAGTCATCCATCATACTCTCCAATAACTTTCTTATGCTCCGACAACTTTGGGCTGCCGAGGTGATTATCTAGGCATTTCAAGAATGCCTTGTTTTCCCCTACTCCCTTTTTCTGGCAACTGAAAAAACCAAAGGAGTCTCTTTTTACTTGACACCAACTCTGGTTTTTCCCGCACAATGCATGCATAGTTAAGCAATAGCTTTCTTTCTTCTCCACTCTTGGTTAGTCACATTGTCTGATTATGAATCGTTCTTTTGTTTTGAGAACTGTTCATTTTCTGTCGGACATCTGCATCAATGGCCTTGGTGGGTTCTTGGTTCTCATGGTCCATCTGCATTCTTTCTCTCTTTTCTTCCAGTTCTCTGGCAAGTTGAATAGCGATAAGACATAAGCGTTTTAAAAGCAGTTCAGTCTTGATAGCAAGATCCAGGAAGAGAGAGTCATCTCTGCCATTGCCCCGACCCTATCTTAGCCATAGAGGTGAAGTGAAGCAGGCCCCCATTCTCCAGATTTTCAGAAAAAAACATTAAGACCTACTGGCATGGGGGGCTGAAGAATGATATGCAACCTTGTGGGTAGTTTATGTCTTCAGAGTGTTTCTCTACCTTTTTTTAAAAAAACCTCTTTACCTTGTAATATTTTAACCCTAACCTTTAAAATTCTATTTTTTAACTTTCATATTATATCTTTTTTATTGTAAATCTCCCAGAGCCACTTTGGTAAGGTGGATGATGTAGAAATGTGATGAATAAAGAAAGAAATAAGTCATACTCCTACATTTGTATTAAGTCCCCTTGAAGCAAGAGATTGTCCATAAAACCCGTGACTTGGTTCCCATTTTGATGTAACTGTGTGCTTACTTTTGGTCTAGCCCCAGAACATGCGCTATCGTAATTCACTCCTCCATTGAGCTTGTCCTTTGTCTCCCCCTTCCTCTGCTAGTTCAGATCTTGTTCACACATGGAAGGAAGTCAATAGGTCTGATTACAAGCCATGACCTGTGCTTACGATGGAGAATTAATGAAATAATAAACCCAAGGACTCCTAATGATAAGCATGTGTAATCTGTGCTATTTCATTAAGGAATTTTCCACCCTTCATCTTTTAAGTGCTGCTAGGTGACAGGCAAGTATTTCCCCTCTCTCATTCTCTTTCACCTCCCACTGTCCAGAACTCTTGATATTTATTGCATTTTTAACTTAAAGCAAACTTTGCTCTGCTGTCTGTTTGGATAAGATACTCATACTCTAAATTCTGATCTTGCTTTGTCCATCTGGGCTCCGCAGCAAGTGCCAACCAATTTCTGCCTTGTGATCCTTCTGCCATGCTGAGCTTTTTTCAAAGGTTCTTTTAATGAAAGATAAATGAGAAAATTGGATTGTTCCAAAAACTAGTGCCAAACTCAAGCACCGTCTTTGTTTCCAAGAATGTTCCGAGCCACATCAGTTCCTCAGACAATGTAAATGGTGCTTGAATGAATGAATGAATATTTTTATTACAGGCACTGTCCTGAATTGCAAACAAAAAGTGCATTAAAAACAAAATAAAAACAAAACCATAAAAAATGTTACAACTGACGGTAAATGTGTTGGTGGATAATCAAAGTCTACCTAATTTTATAGGCTGTATAACAAACTTAGATACATTCAAGGAAACTGACTCAAGATCAGAATTTTCCAAGTGTTTCACTGGGTAAGGAGTTGCGAGGTGAATCCTTTAGTCCTTATATCGATAGTCCTTGACATATATTACCACAATTGTGACCAGAATTTTCATTAGTAAGCAAGGCAGTTGTTAAGTGAGACATGCCCGATTTTAAAACCGATGCTTTGCTCAAAACATTTTCCATCTATGCTGAAAAAAATGAAATAGTAAATTGGAAGGATCCTGGAAATCTAAAAAAGTTTCAGAGGGAGGAAACCTCTCCGTTTCCTTTCTGGAAAATGGGTGATTTGTGATTGACTTCAGTAGACCTTGACTTAGACTGTTCCAAGTTATGGGGCACTGAAAATAGTGACTGTCAACCGGTCCTTCCATTTAACAAGCATTGCAGCATCCTCATGGTTATGTGATCAGAATTCAGTCACTTGGCAGGTGACATGTATTTATCATGGTTGTAACATCCCGGTCCCATTTGCAACCTTCCCAGATCGTTTATGACAAGCCAAGTCAATGGAGAAAGGCAGATTTGCTTAACGACCACATGATTTGCTTAATGTCTGTGGCACAATTCACTTAACAATTGCCATGCTGAGCAAAGGAAATTCTGGTGGCCATAAGTTCAGGATTATCTATATGTCCCCCATGGCCCCCATTGAGAAAGTAGGTACACATTCAACTATCCCAGTACATTTATGAATGCCTACAAGAAGGAATGTGTACATCTGAAGATCTTAGTAGTGGGATATCTTTGTTACTTAAGTGTCAAATGGCTTATCTGGCATTGAATAGTTTGTTCAACTGACAGGTGATTCCTGGCTCCCTGAGGCTGAGTCGCTTATCAGGTGCTTTGCAGGCTGGAAATCCAGCAGGGAAAACTGTACTTGTAAAAGCAATCTATGTGTGAAAGGAATGGAATACCTGCTAGTAGTCCACATTTGTAGGCCCAGGTAGACTCAGATAAAGGTTGACGGTTCCAAGAAAGTTAGGAGCATTAATGATGACTGAAAAGAAGAGAAGAGAAAGAAGGAAAGAAAGAGAGAAGAAAGAGGGAGTGGGAAGGTGAAAGGAAGGGAGCAGAAGGAAGGAAGGAAGAGAGGATGGAGCCGAGGGAAATAAGGAAGGAAGACAGGGAGGGAAGAGGGAAGGAGTTGGATGGTTAAGAGGAAAGGAAGGAAGGAAGGAAGGAAGGAAAGAAAGAAGGAAGAAAAGGAGAGGTAGAGAGGGTAGAGCTGAGGGAAAGAAAAGGAAGATGGGGAGGGGGAGGGAAGGAGTTGGAAGGTTGAGAGGAAGGAAGGAAGGAAGGAAGGAAGGAAGGAAGGAAGGAAGGAAGGAAGGAAGGAAGGAAGGAAGGAAGGAGAGAAGAGAGAGAAGGAGATGGGTGGGTGATGCCCTATCCTGATTTCAAGCCAGGCTGCTCTTAGATTAG